AAATGTTTGAAGGGAGGTAATAGCTACTTGAAGCTCTCAGTGGTATTGCATGCTTAAACTATATGAATTACATATTGTAATTACATATGTATTTTAAACCAGATCAGTAAAGAAAGAAACACTTGAATATTTTTACTATAAATTTTATTATAAGGCTGATTATCTTCAAAAAAATAGAACTTTAATTTTTTTGAGTAGGAAAAAAAAAATATTTAGAATGTACATGTGCACTTAATTTTGTTTATTAAAAATAGTCAAAATTTGGAGATCTTGTGAAGGGTATCTAAATATTGATTTATAGATTTTTACTTCATTTTTAAGCAGCATAATCTTTATTATAACATATGCCTGCAATATACAACTTATTTGTTGTTGAACATTCCATTGTCTGTCTACATGTAGTGCTTAGTAAAATTCTTGTAAATAAAAACATGATTGCATGCTGTTTGTTTACTTTGTCTTTTTTTCAATATGAGTCATGATATATAAACGGTGTGCATATCAGTTTAAATTATTTTTGTTGAATTCAGATAACAGAAAAAATTAATAACTGAATATCATTATGTAGATAGATGTCATCCAGAAATATTTACATGTACTAGTAGCTGCAGATATGTAGCTTATGTGAAATCAGGTATACTTGAAACTCAATTTACCTGTATTTATTAAACAGAAATTTAGTGAACACATTCATATACCTATGCAGTATTTCATACTGAAAATACACTGTGTTAATGTTTTACTTATTCAACATAAAAATTGACCAGAAGTGATCTTAATGAAATAAAACATATCTCACAATATCCCCCCCGCCCCCTCAATTTATCACAATTTCCATTAAAGAAAATCTTGCGTTGTCTTTCCTTGTTTAAAGAAAATATCTGATGCAATGAATGCTCCTTTGGGTTCATGACCCTGAATATTAATAAGGTTGGGAGGTGTGCGGTGAACATTTTTTATGTGAAGGTAATTTCTTTTTCTTAAGATATCAATGCATACTGCATGATGTTACGATGGTGATAAAAGAATAGCATGACACCTAAATATTAATATGTATGTAAAACAAGAAAGGAAAGAAAATTAGGATTTTTAATGTGAAGTTGTTCCGAAAACATTTCTCACAATGAGATCAATGCTTTATTTAAAAATTAACTAATAAGCCTATAATCCCCAGCATCCTTTTGATTAACACGCCCTTGTCGGGTACATCAATGATTTTTGTTCTCTAAAAGTAGACTCTTTCACTCGTGGGAAAATTGACTTTCTCCAAATCTTTGTCTCGCAAGTCACCTGGTCTTTTTTTCTTCCGCTTTTTGTTTTTTGGTCTTATTGCATTCACAGGATGAAAGGCCAGGTTTCCCAAATTTGGAAACCCGATGGAAACATATGGGAATCGTGACATCAGTAGTTTCCATATAGTTTCCATTTTATGAAAACCACATAGTGGTTTCCACATAGATTCCGGACATGGAAACAATCAACCTGTGGTTTCCCGTAAGTTTCCCAAGATAGGAAACCGTGGAAACATACCCCGGTGGTTTCCACATAGATTCCCGACATGGAAACAATCAACCTGTGGTTTCCCGTAAGTTTCCCCAGATAGGAAACCATGGAAACATGCCCCGGTGGTTTCCATGTAGATTCCCGATATGGAAACATCCAACCTGTGGTTTCCCGTAAGTTTCCCAAGATAGGAAACCATGTAAACATGCCTCAGTGGTTTCCATACAGATTCCCGACATGGAAGCCACCAATGTGTAGTTTTCCCCATGTTTCCCAGGCAGGGAAACTTTGAAAGTATATCTCAATACTAACCCACCTACCTTTTATTTTACAAAAAGTTAAATATTTAATTATGTTACCATATTTTTACCAATTCAAGAAATATTTCAAAAGTGTTTACATGCTGTATCAAAATAATTTACTTCAAACAGTTAAAATAACTAGATGTGTATTTCTGTGTGATTAATTTAATATTTCAGCACCGTGAACGCAATTCAATTTTAATTTAATTTTATTTAACTGAATATTATTTAATTTAATTTAATTTTGAATTTGATTCATCACATAAGTTTACTCGTATAGAATGCGTGAAGTGGAATAGAAAAAAGTAAGTGCATGTAGTTATGTAGAAATCAATCATTTCCGATCCCACTTTATTGAAGCTGTCTATGATGAATGTTCCTTTGAAAAAATGGAAGAGCTAAGGAAGGGTACATTTAATGAAATTATTTACAGACAAGGTTTACTAAAAAGATCGATTTAAAGTAAATGAAGAAATATGTGAAGTTACGATTACTGATTAAGGACAGGTGAGGCGTTCCTCAATAAAATAATTATTTTTTTTTCCAATATTTTGCAATTGACATTTAACAATTATTTTTACATAATTACATGTATTTACAAGACATCAGGGTACCTTACCAGGCATTTGTATTAGATACCAGAGGTTGGCATTTCTTATATACCGGGGTAATCCGTCAGGAAAAAAATACTTCAGTTGGTTTGTCAAAATTACATTTTTAGTGTTTCAAGTTTTTAAATACAAGTTTAGAAAGTGATAAATATTTTGTTTTAATATGAATTAATATATTAATATAAACTGGTCAGATAAGAATCATTCATCGAATTGGCTGGGGTTTGAGTATTATCATACTAGTATTTTACTATTAATAGTTAATATTGTTTTTTTTTAATTTATTAAATTATTATTTTTATAATTGGGGGTGGGTGGGTTGCTTTTCATTTTTTCCTTGAGAAGCCCCCCCCCCCCCCCCCAAAAAAAACCACTTTTGAAAAAGTCACCATGGTCGGCCTGTGTAATTAGGGACACATGTCCTCACGTGCTATTTCAGGTGGAGACACGTGCCGCGAAGACACCTGTCACTGTGTATTTTTTGTATATTCTATGTGAATTGAGACGGTTTTGTACCTAAAGGGAACAATGGGCTGTTGTCGAGCATGTACACACACAGTCTCCGACGGAAAATTCTTTTAAATTAAGATGATGATTCGTGTTTCTTTTATCATTTAAAAAATTGTATATGCCATAAATAAAGTTATACAAGAGAACATTTTATAAAATAACCTACATTTAAGAAGTTCAATGAAAGAACAAACTATTTAGAATTTTTATTTCAATTTTCATTACTGATTTAAAATAAAAGTATCCTCTTTAGAAATTAAATAATTTTCTATAGGTACTGAATAGATCTTAATTCTCGTCATGTATAATTATATTAAATCAGAATGACGTTAATAGATCAATGTGAAATCAAAACTGTATTTAATATTGTTGATGGTTTTTTGTGTGAGATTTGTAATCTAACGTACTACAAAGACATTTATTAGATAAATGTTTATAATATAATTCATCACATAAAACGTTTTTTTTTACCTTTCCTTTTTTTGTTTAAATATGTACGCAGATCCCCGTGTAGTAAACGCGTGCACTTTTCGCATGAAATTACAATGTAGGGTCCTAAATGTATACATACATTATATTTAACAAACTTTAAAATTTTCAGCCATTTTTTTTTCTCCAAAGGCCATTGCTCTAGATAAAGAAAAGTCTATAATATTTTGCATGATTTTGTTTTCCTTAAGAACAATGGCTTTTAAAGTAGTGTATGCCAAGGCAATCTATTAAAAGAATTAATTGTGTAATTAATCCATTGTATAATTGTCACGATTGCATTTTTGTGCAGTTTTTGTTGATTTCATTCTATAAAGGTATGAAGTTTGTCAATACTTCAGCAAACATTTCTTTATCTATGTTGTACACTACAGTTGTGTACTCAATTATTATTCGCCGACATGCAACTCTTTTAAATAAAAAAAACTTGCGTGACTAATAGACTCGATCTTCAGGCCTGTAGGAAAGTAATTTCCGTTAGAGTAATAAACTAACCGGGATTTTATTTTTACTAGCATACCTTATCAGATTTCTTAACGAAAAAAAAAAACATTAAAGAAATACAGGGCGGGACCAGCTAAAGCTGTATGCATAAGTACAGCCCTGCACATCAACGAGTATATATGACTTTCGACATAATCTTTCCCATGATCGACTTCACTTATACCAATCACGACTAAAATACTGAATTAAAATACTGTTATATTTTCCTGCCTTTGATAAGATGTTAGTTTTGTTCCATCTAGAGATATAACTCTCCTAAGAAAAAGGTTTTCAACATTCTGATACATTTAACAATTTTACGTGTTAAAATGATGTGGGAAATTTTATTAGCTAAAGGCCAAGGAGTTTAAAGTACAATGTACATGTAGCAATTAGATAAAAGTCTAGCAGGTCCACCAGTAATATTGATAGCAGGCTCAAAATCTAATTAAACCCCGAAAAGGAGGAAGTTCAATTAGTAATTTAACCCCCCCCCCCCCCAAAAAAAAAACAGCAATGAATTATTAATCACCGAACTTTTCAATCATCACTATTGAAATAAAAAAAAACTGTTCTTGATAATCATATTATAATTGTAGCTCATTTTCATGCCTTTTAGGATTCCTGTGGAAAGTTCACAATAAAAAAAATGTGCTTTGAAAAATTTAACATCTTTTGGTGTGACATTATAAATTCATAATCATACATGTAACAGTTAAAAGAAGCGGGGAGAGGGGGGGGGGGTTACTTTCAGCAAGGACGGCCACTACCAACAACCAAGCCCCGAAACCCATATCCCGAAGGCAAATAAGTTGAGGTGTCAAGCAAGAAACATTTTTTTTTCTGCTCTTGCCTCATGTATTTAACCGCTTTTTTTTTCTAAATATACTAGGCCTACACATCATATCGGCAAAAAATTTAGGAGCCCCTCTTTTTATTCCATGAAAAGGGGAAAACTTAATTAAATTCTAATATAAGATCTCATAATCACATTTAATCATAGTGAATGTAAACAGTTTTCCCATCCTGCGTCGCTCTGTAGGCGCTATATTTCATTGGTCAATTTCCCGAGGCGCCATTTTTGGAGGATCGAGAAGGACGAAGAAGAAGGTGTAAGCAGCTGGTAAATGTGAAAAGTAAAGATGGTTTCACCACCCAGTGTCTTTCAGACTGTGATAAATGCAATGGCCAACGATGAAGGATTAGTGTACGTATATTTTTGTTAACTTTTTACGGTAAATAGTTGTAATATTTGGCAACATCAAATCTTCACTATCGGAGGCAACTTTTGTTCTGACGCCATTTTGAAAAGTAACTAAGTTGGATACCTAAGTTTTAAATTGTTAAGTGTATATATTGCACAGAGAGAGAGAGAGAGAGAGAGAGAGAGAGAGAGAGAGAGAGAGAGAGCATAACTTAAGATTATGTAGGCCCCAAAGGCACCGTGCATGTGCATGCTGTATGTTGTAAAATGGCAACGTTTCGCCTTTTATCATGTTTATTAAAACGTATGCTCCCTATGTATGTTCTCTCTCTAAATGAATACTTTTCGGAATTAAAAAAATATATTTTTTAACCCCGCTCAAATTATCCGGATGATAATAGTTACACCGAGCATGGTTCGTAGTTAAATTCAGACTGTAGAACATCCGGTTTGAATACATGTGTTTTCTGGCTTTTCGGATAGCCAACTCTTGTTTTTTTGGAACTTACGACATATGGCAAGGTATAAATTAAATATTTTGGTTCAAAACTTTGATAAAAGCATCGATATTTTTACAAAAAGAGTCTTCAATCTCAGCTTATCCGATTATTCATGAAGGATATCCTCATCAGAACAGTTGGAATAAACTGATAAATGTAGTCAATACTGTAGCATAACCCTTAATCATATGCATGACGATGATATGGAGGAAAAATATACATAAAAAATTGAATGTAGGTGAAAGCCTGTCCACTTTTCTGAAGAGATTAGGTTTGTTTTATTGTTTATTTAAATAGTTAACTGCTCAAAAGATTTTTTTTTTGGTAATGTCTAACCTGTTGAGATGAAGTTGTAAAAAAAGAAAAGCCTAATGGTGAATTAATATTGATAGTATGTCAAGAAATGCAAATGAATCATCAGCTTGAATTATCAGTTTTCTCACAGGGCTCTCGATTCTCTCAAATTTGGGCCGTTCAACGGCCCCGTTCCCAATGCAAAAAGGTACATTTTTTCCCAAAAGAAAGGTGTAAATTTCCCAATTTTCATAGCAAAATATTAATTAAAAATAAAAGTCCATGAAACTTAATCGCAAAAAAACCCAAACAAAACACACTTGAAAATGAAACTGTACCACTATTTTATTAGTTTGCGCCAAATGCATTCGTTAATTGGTTCGGGGAACCAGGTTATTGTTTTTACCGAAATGTGTACTATGAGTTCAGAGTATCTTGTCATGTAATTTCGACAAAAAAACATCATTTTGGTTTCAAAAAAAGACATTTCACTAAAATATTATTAAGCTGCACGTAGAAACATACCCATGCACGCTTCTGCATGATCAGTCTCGCGCTGTATTGGTAAGCAACTTTGTCCATGTAATCGAGGAAATTCGGGACAATGTGACTAGCGACTGTCACTCAGAAAGACAGATAACCGCAATATCAACACTCAAAGATAGTAATGACAAAGCTAATGTACTTTCATAAATAGCCGACGTACCCATGTTTGATCTGTATTCAAAACCAGATTTAAATAGATGACAAAATGCTAGAAAAGCAAAATTTGAGGATTTTTTAAAATGAATTTTGGTTATCCAACTTTTCCCAAAAGGATGGTAATTTTCCCAATTTGAAAGGCCCTGGCCCCAGTCCCAAAAAGTGGTGTGAGAGCCCTGTTGCACAATTATTGACCTGAGTAGGACAATGTATAGCGAATAATACATACTCTTTTCCATATCACATCCTAGCCCGAGACACCAATATCAGCCAGAGGGACAGAGGCCCTAGGGCTGATATTGGTCAAAGGTCTGATACAGGATGTGATGTGGAAAAGGGTATGTTTCATTATGTTTATTACAAACTTGGTAATAAAATACAGAACACTTCAAGTTGAGAAGATCAAGAAAATAAGTAAATAATCATGCACAATAAAACTGACGTACATACATGTACACGGTATTGTCTTACTGAACAGATTTAGCTGTCATTAGGTCAAAATTGCAAATAATAACATGCTTCTTATATCTGTTTATACAGGTAACTCTTGATGGCTTGAACTTCAATTTCTCGGAAGTTCTTGATCGCTTGAAGTGAGTCTCCAGTCCCGATTTTTTCCACTATATAACTAAGCAGATTTGCTCTTGATTTCTCGAACTCCTGATCTCTCGAAACCCTTGATCCCTCGAAGTCAAAATGCAGTCCCGCTGTGCTGTGAATTTTACCCTTGATACATGTACCTTGAAGTGGCTGTGTGTATACCAAGTTATAATGTTCAAACTTTTGCCATAACTGTATATCTGTGTGTCTGTCTGAGTGTCTGTCGTCAACTTAAACCTTCACCATAACTTTAGAACTATACGAGATAGTGGCTTCATATTTAGTATGCATACTCTACTAATGAAGTGCTTTCAAATGGCAACAAGGACAATGATTATGTGATCTTGACTGTGACCTGTATGCTAAAAAAAAATTGCATTTTCGAACTTTGTTGCTGTGTTTCACAAGTACATCTTGTTTTTAGCTCTACTGGTCAGAGACCAGAAGAGCTTATGCAATAGTAATGCGTCCGTCCATCTGTCTGTCTGTCTGCAAACACTATTCCTCCTTAGATTTTAGTCTGATTTCAATATAACTTGGCACACAAGTAGACTATACTAAGATACATAATTCTGTGCATCAGTTTTTGATAAGTACAAAGCAGTAGAGCTACAGTCTCGACAGAGACTTCTGGTTATTTTTTCTTCCATCCCGGTTGTTGCTAATGCTATTACATAATTAGTTCAAATTAGAATGCAATAGTACCGGAACATAATTTATCATTTCAGAGAGAAGAAAACTGTGTGACATTAAAAGAAAACCAGTGAGATAAAATCATAGAAAATGTATGATGATTCAGGATGTGGTCATTTGGTAAGTGGTAATTCATTCATGATTAGTATGTATATGACAATTGCCTGAAAAAAAAAAGATTCTAAATTTTATTTAAATATTGAACTGTTGTATATCAGCTGTGAGCTACAAGAAGTTTTATGTAAAAGCTAGGGCTGAAACAATTTGCCCCCTCCATGTTATGTGTGTATTGCTATGATTGACAAAAATAGGAAATCATTTTCATAAATTTTTCCAATGTAAGTAAACAGCAATGATTTCTGCTTACAGATAGTCCATTGTCTTTGAAAATTTCTTGGGGAAATGAGGCACATACCATATGTTCTAAATAAATAAAAAAGGCTCATTATGCACCTATTTATATGAAATATGATAGATTTTTTCTCTTCAAGGAATAATTTCTGCAAGTCACTAAGTTTTTAGAGTTTCCTTTATATTCAATGAAATTATTTGAAGTATTAAATTTTGGTAAATTTTATGATACTAAAAGGTTATATGGATGAAAAAACAGCATGCGTGTATGACAATAGGGCTTAAATTTTTAATGTCTCTTAATTTTTCAGTGACTTTAAAACAGGAATTGTCATCACCAATAGACAATTTCACATTCCTAAGAGTTTTCTCCAATTGTCGGCGTATTGCTCATTTTTCCCACTTTGTCCTTTGTAAGTTACTTGTTAATATTTTCAATCTTCAAAAATATTGGACAATTACGATCTGTATCTGTATTGCCAGAGTATGGGGGCAGCATGAAAATCATAATGAATATGTTCATACAGATTTTATTTCTCAGATATTATCCCTCAAAGTTGATACGGTTAACATGGTTAAAGGGGGAAAACAGCGTCTTAAGCCGGTTGACCCCAGATCGACCCTGCGAAGGGGAATAACTTTTGTCAATGTGAAAGTCCTTTATGGTATATCATATAGATCTAAAACTGACTGAATTTTGATCAGCCAATTCATGAACATGATGAATGGATGTAAATAATGTTGGTCAATATATATGTAAAAAAAAAATTAAATTACTTGTTTATATATACATTTGTGGTATCTCTCCCATTGAAGTTTATAAACTTATTATTTATATCTTAAATAAACTGAGCGTACATGCAAAACCGGTATAAAATTACTCATAAGATACATGTATACTTAAACCATGATAAAATCATATGTGTCCAATGCAGCATATGATAAATCATTAACATACAAGTACATGTGTATATATACTGTAAAACATATATATTGCATTATTTTTAGGTCCTGTTCTGTGGATGCCCTAAGACAGTGTCTACCCATCACTCCATCTGAAATCACTTGTTCTGTGCATATTTCTCTCTCAAACTTAAACTACAGAGAGCCTGTGGATAGAGGATGAAGAGTGACCTTGGACTAATTTTCTAGGTCAAAGGTTAGTATCAAAATCTACTGTATATCTTCATTTAAAATCGTAGTCCAGAGTATATTTCTCCCCTGGTGTAATCTAGCTTTTGTGCAATGGGGTGGAGGGTCTGCAATGATCTTCAACCAATTTCTAGGTCAAATATCAAAATTTAAAAAAAAATTTCTCCCTAATATTTTTGTTATTATATATTCTCAATGACATAATAAGGCTGAAAACATTATTTATATTATGTTTTTTTTTCACTTATCATAAAGCATTAAATATTAAAGAGATACATTAAATGCTGAAATCATATGTATCATGGTCATGGAAAGTAATTATTAGCTCTTCTGAGCCAAAGGCTCAAAGAGCTAATGCTATGGCCATTTGTGCGTCGTGCGTTAACTTTTTAGAATATGGGCCATAACTCAAGAACCCCTTGGCCAATCATTGTCAAATTTGTCACAGGGTATCCTTGGCCCAAGGGCTACCATTTATACTAAAACTAGGGGTGGGACCCTAAAACAAGGGGAGATAATCAGGAAAATGAAACCAAAAGTACTGGTTGCTAAAAAATCTTCTTCTCCAGAACCACTAGGCAGATTTTCACCAAACTTACATACAAGGGTTGGGATATGTTGAAGATTAAAAATTGTTCAAGGCATGACCCTGGGGCAAAGGGCGTGGTCTCAAGGTCACTTCAAAGTTGACCAAAATTTACACTTAATAAAAACGTTGATATTTTGCTTACTATAAAGACTAGGATCATCAAATCTTGTAAGTTGATTCAACTTACTACACATCATGTTAATACAAAAGTAGGTCACGGTGACCTACTTTTTAAATTTTACGGGCTTTTGTTTTCAAATTTTGGACACTTTAAGGCCTATGATCATAAAACTTTGTCAGTTGGTGCATCTTGGGTCCACAAACAACATCAACTTAAAAGTAGGTTATCATGACCTACTTTTTGAATTTTATGGCTATATTTAGGTATCTCGGGTACTTATTGGTTTAGAATCATCAAACTTTGTTATTTGAAGCATCTTGGGTTTTTGGAGAATGACCATCAAAAAATAGGTCACGGTGACCTACTTGTGACATTTATGGCTATATTTAAGTATTCTAGGGTACTTATTGGCTTAGAATTGTCAGACTTTGTCAGTTGATGCACCTTGGGTTTTTGGAGAATGTTGACCAATAAGTAGGTCACTGTGACCCACTTTTGTATATCTCAAGTACTTATTGGCTTAGAATTAGTGTTGGCAAATCGGACGATTTTTAATAACCGGTTACTCGCTTCATCTTCCGATCGAGTACCCGGTTACTCGGATGATTTTTGGTAAAAGTAACAATATCTATTATTTATCTCATTTGAATCAGCTGTTCTTTTGTTACAACTCCAAGCTTATTATGTCTGCGGGGGCATCTCGTTAAATTATCAAATGAGGTAATTATAACTCAGGCCTTCAAAATATGTTTACCCCAAGCAATCAAAGCTATCAATTATATGAACTATGAAAACCAATCAAAACAATTTGATTCACTACAACCATGCACTAGATCAAGTCTAACGGTACCTAAAATTAGGGTAATGTGTAAGGTAGTGTACATTTGTAAATTATAATAAATTCATTTTCTATGCCTTGACAATGTAGAATTTATTTTATCCGAGTAACCGAATAGCAGTTTTACTAACCGATACTCGCAACGTTCGACGGTTAACCGGGTACTCGTTGCCAACACTACTTAGAATCATCAATCTTTGTCAATTAGTGCATCTTGTGTCCTCAGAAAATTTTAATCAAAAAGTAGGTCACCATGACCTACTTATAGTATTTATAGTTACATTTAAATATCTTCAGCCCTAACTGGCTAAGAATCATCAAACTTTGTCAGTTGATGCATCTTGGGTCTTAGGATAGATTGTATAATTTATCAGAAGAGCGATTCAAGGCCTTTGGGCCTCTTGTTGATATTGGTATATTAAAGGACATTGACTGATCTTTCAGATTTCTAAGTTATATTCAAGCATTATAATTCTGACATCAACTAATAATTTTGTATGAATATTGCAGATCATAGGTGATGTGAAGAAAACCAGGAAACTGATGTTGAAAGAAGTACTTAATGACCCTTATGAATGGACTTAAATGTGAAAGACTGTTCCATTGTTTATCTAAGATATATGAATTTATTTAATATTTTGATATCATTGAAAAATTCAGTTACAGTTTTTGTACATCAAATGAATTATTAAACATATAAAATGGTAATGCTTTTTTCTTTTACATGTAATAAATTTTTTTGATAGATTTTTAAAAGAATACCCATTATTTCACATTGCTTCCTTTAGAAAAGTTAGGGAATCTTGAAGTTTCCCAGTAATTTCCACCAGGAATGGGACTCTAGATAATTCCACCAAGTTTCCGCCACACAGAAAGTGCTACACAAGTTCCACATAGTTTCCTGAGTCGAGGAAACTTCAGTAAGGTTTCACGAGCTTCCATGTAGTTTCCCATAAAAGAAAACCTTAAGATTCCATCAAGTTTCCATTCCACGGAAACCACTACGCTCATATTCCATATGGTTTCCTGAGTCGAGGAAACTTTAGGAATCGTGAGGTTTCCCGAGCTTCCATGTAGTTTCCCGTATAAGGAAACCTAAAGATTCCATCAGGTTTCCATTCCACGGAAACCACTACGCTACCATTCCATATGGTTTCCTGAGTCAAGGAAACTTTAGGAATCGTGAGGTTTCCTGAGCTTCCATGTAGTTTCCCGTAAAAGGAAACCTAAAGATTCCACCAAGTTTCCATTCCACGGAAACCCCCTGATTCCTGATTCTGGAAACCAGTGGAATCTTCAGGTTTCCCATTACGGGAAACTACTTGGATGTTCGGGAAACTTCAGGTTTACAGAGGTTTCCGTGGTACGGGATACCTTATGGAATCGGAGCGTAGGGGGTTTCCGTGTCACGGAAACTTGGCGGAATAACCTAGCATCCGCTACGGAAACCACTGGGAAACATGATGTAAACTTGAGGTTTCCATGTGGTTTCCATGAAGTTTCCCATGATGGGAAACCACTTTTTTCACCCAGTGATTATTGTTAAAAATGACGTGTGATCTACACAACGGCGAGGTCAAGTGTGGAGGTAATGTTAATTTTGTCGATGAAGAATTGAATTAAATATGCGTATTTTTATTCTCTTTTCTTTAGAGAAATTTAAATGGATCGACGATGATTTATAAACGTTTATCATTTTTTCCAAAGAAAGAATAATTATTTCAGTTGCAACAACAATGAACCCTCTGACGTCTGCAGTGGCAGAGAGACGTGAGTCTTCTATTGTATGTCATGCTTTTGAAGTTGATGAGATTTTATAATTAGATTAATGAAATTCAGATCTGTAAAATGTGGAATTAAGTGGAAACAAAAGCGATTAATGAATTGAATTGATCATTTTTACAGATATAATTTATTTAAAAAAATTCGTTTTTTGATTTTTTTTTCTGAATTAATGTGATCCATGTCACTATCTGATAATCATATTTTCCTTTGCTTCATTGATGAAAGAAAAAAAAAGTTAAGAATCACAGACGACCAGTATCAATTATATCTTTCATTCTGATGAAAATAAAAAAGAACTTGATTTTAATTTTAACCTATGCTTAACATTAAGTGATCACGTTAATATTGAAAAGTTTTTGATTACGTTTTAATTGACATTAAGTTATTTTTATCCATTTTGTTTATAACAAAAAATTATACAAAAAAGTCCTGTTAGTTTTGTCGAAAACAGTATAACTTGCGTAACCGACTCTTTCACGAAAAAAGACTGTGTCGTACGTCTTATCTTAGAAGCCAACAGGATGACAGGAAAATGATCAGATTTTGGATTATGGCACAAAGCATCTTTTTTGAAAGAGAAATGAGAAAGGGCGAAGCTTCGTTTAGAGAAGAAGTTCTAAAATCGGCCAAAACCGATGTTATTTCAATGGACCGTTGGGAGGAAGCTGAGCAATCCTACTTACTGGAAATAGTGAACTACACAATTAATTTTGATGAAGACGAAACCCCTTATTACGAGGAACCAGATACATCTGAGGGATTTAAGAATCCGTATGCTCTTGATCAGTAGTCTTGGGGAATAACGTAATACAAGGAATTTAAAACATGTGCAGACATTAATACTTATGAATCAAAAATTTTCTAAGATTCAGATAATATACTTTTATTCCTTTGTTAGGTCACCTGAGTAAACTCAGGTGACCTATTGCTATCCGTTTTCGTCTGTCGTCGTTCGTCGTCCGTCGTTCGTCGTTCGTCGTGCGTTAACATTTGAACATTTTCAGCTTCTTCTCTGAAACCGCTGAACCAATTTCAACCAATTTTGGCATATAGTATCTATGGTTGAAGGGGAACAAAAATTGTGAATTTCATGGTCCCTGCCCCCCTGGGGCCTGGGGGGTGGGGCAAAAACCACTAAAATCAGTGCAATCTTTAAAAATCTTCTTCTTTACTCCTGGACATCCATCAGTCTAACTG